TTTTAATGAGGTGGTATTATAGTAGGGTTTGTTTTGATAGTATATATTCATCAAGTCACTTTTATGACCGGAAATGTGTTGCTGTTTTAGGCAAAAGGGTAGGTCCAAAAGATCGCATAAACTTCAATTTTTACTGAATTATTCTTAAAATGACAAACCCCACGTAATTTGTCCACTTCAGGCTCGGCACAACAAGTCAATAATAAAATAATTTATCGTTTTAAGTCCGGACAATACAATTGTTTTGGAAGCCCTGCAGCCATTGCCAAAAATTTATTAATCAATAAAGTATACCATCTGAACTTGATCAATATATTCTCTTGTCAGGTGTCACCTTGGCAAACAGTGATTATCCATCATGTGTATGATAAAACAGTATGTATAGGGTCCTGTCAATTATCATTCAATACCAAGAGGCAGTTTTTTTCCAGGAAAGCATTGCAATTAAGATATATGAACTGATTACCAAAAAATCATTTCGACTTAAATTATAAATTTCATTTTAGTCATTTGAATTTTAAGTCAATCAAAACTGGCAAAAATTATTGTTTAAAGACCCTTGATATATACAAAGATTAAGAGCCCTTTTAAATATAAACTGGACTATTGGTTATTTTTTCAGTTGAAACCTGAGACTTACAGTAGATTTACTCCAGTCAAACTTCCAGGAGAACTGGATCACGATACACCTAAACAACTACCAAGTGTACCCACTGGTTTTACTCCCATAAAACTACCTACAGAGTATGGTACACCAAGTCAGTTTTCAGATGTCCCATCAGGATATACTCCTATCAAAATGCCAATGGATTCTATGCTGCCTGAATCACCATTCACATCTATTTGTATGAAGGTATCTTAAATTAATGTAAAACAAGAATTCAAGACTTTTGAATTAAACCCCATTGAAATTGCTAAAAAAACAAGCAATTTATACAAAGTACTGGTTTTGGCCCCTTTTAACTAAACCAATAGGGTCATAACCCCTAAAATCAACTTTATTTTATGGTAAAACACCTGTGGCACAATTAAATAGCAATACATAGACTTATACACAAGTTATTGTCCAGAAATCAGAAAATCCTAGTTTTTTGGTCCCTTTTCAGCCCCTTATTATTGAACAGTTTGGACCATGACCCCTAAAATCAATCCCAACTTTCCTTTAAAAGTATGGAGCCTTGTAGTAAAATTTCATAGAAATCCAAACTCTAATACACAAATTAGTGTCCTGAAACATGAACATTGCTTGTTTTTGACCCCTTTTTGGACCTTAATTACTGAACAGCTACAACAATAACCCCCAAAATAAATCCCAACCTTCCTATTGTGGAATGGAACCTTGTGCTAAAATTTAATACAGATCTATACAGTTATACTCAAGTTATTGTCTGTAAATCAGACAAATAATTGTTTTTGTTATTTATTTTATTACATAGCTTTTATATAGCGCCTATCTAATAAACATAATACTCTAAGCGCTTAACATATAAAATTGAAGGAAAATATATATCACAATGCATACAATAATAGCAAATATATATATATATATATATATGAACATAAGAATGAAACAGAAATTAAATAGAATAATGATGTAAATTAAAAGCATTGAAAGGGGAAATATATATCACAATGAATACCATAAAAACATATTAGAATATAACAGTTAACCAAAATTAAATAAAATAATGATGAAAATTATAAGTATTTACATTCCCTGCCGTATATACACAAGTAAAACCTATAAAAATTTGCATTAAAGGATTTATTCACTTAGCTAAGAGAAAATATAAGGTAGAAATTTAACCAGTAAAACACAGAGAAAAAATAAATAAAACTGTCTCTTAAATAAAAACTTTAAAACTAAAAATTAAAAATTTTTGTTAGGCCCTTTTTGGCCCCTTATTCCTTAACAGCTATGACAATAGCCCCCAAAATTAATCCCAACCTTCCTATTGTGGTGTGGAACCTGGTGCTGAAATATTGACCGGATAAATATCTCTTATACTCAAGTTATTGTCTTAAAACCAGACAAATAATTGTTTTTGGCCCCTTTCTGGCCCCTAATTACAAAACCGCTAAGACAATAACCCCCAAAATCAATCCCAACCCTTCTATTGTGGAATGGAATCTTGTACTAAAATTTCTTACACATCCATACACTTACACTAAAGCTATTGCCTGCGAACCAATTTATTTTCCATGAACCAGTAAAACTGAACTTTTTTGGCCCTTAATTACAAAAACGCAAGGACAATAGCCCCCAAAAACAATCCCAACCATCCTTTAGTGGTATGGAACCTTGTGCTAAAATTTCAGAGATCTGTGAACTTATACTCAAGTATTGTCTGCGAAACCAAAATATCTTCAGACGCAGACAACACCATAACATAATACGACCGCAAATTTATTAATAAATTTGCGGTCGTATAATAAAACTTATTACATGTGGTAAATTTAGGTTCAAGACTTTAGTATCAAACATCTTGAAGACAACATTATTAACATTTTGCAATTCATATCCAATAAAATGCTCTGCTGGGCGCAGCTTGATACGACCGCAGAGGTCAAATCCTGAACAGTTGGGGCAAGTATGGACACAACATTCAAGCTTGATACAGCTAAATTTGGATTGTGATTAAATATTTGACACAAGATAGGTTTCTGACACAGAATGAATGTGGTCTAAGAACTTACAAATTTTTAATATACCTTTTCAAACCATATCATTATTATTTGCTTTTATATGTAGATCAGAAATAACCAACTTAAAATGGAAAATTTAAAAAAAAAAAAAAAGGAAAAAAAGGAAAAAAAAATCCCCCCCCCCAAATGTTTTGAACCCCCTTATGATTCATCACCCCCAAACTCAATCCCAGCCTTCCCTTTGTGGTATGGGACCTTGCAGTACAATTTCAGAGAGATCCATACACTTGAACACAAGTTATTGTCTGGAAACTAGAAAAATGCTTGTTTTTTGGCCCCTTTTTGGCCCCAAATTCCTAAACGTTTAAGGCAATTACCCCCAAACTCAAATCCAGCTTTCCCTTTGTGATATGGAACCTTGTAGTACAATTTCATAAAGATCCATACACTAACACACAATTTATTGTCCTGAAACTAGAAAAATGCTTGTTTTTTTTCCCTTTTTGGTCCCTAATTCCTACAATTTTGCGGCAAATACCCCCAAAATCAATCCCTGCCTTCCCTTTGTGGTATGGTACCTTGCAGTACAATTTCAGAGAGATCCATACACTTGAACACGAGTTATTATCTGGGAACTAGAAAAATGCTTATTTTTTGCCCCTTTTTGGCCCCTTATTCCTAAACGTTTTGGGCAATTACCCCCAAACTCAATTCCAGCTTTCCCTTTGTGATATGGAACCATGTAGTACAATTTGATAAAGATCCATACACTTACACACAAGTTATTGTCATGAAACTAGAAAAATGCTTGTTTTTTGCCCCTTTTTTGGCCCCTAATTCCTAATATTTCTGGGGCAATTACCCCCAAAATCAATCCCAGCATTCCCTTTGTGATATGGAACCTTGTGGTACAATGTCAGAGAGATCCATACACTAACACACAAGTTATTGTCTGGAAGTTACAAAAATGCTTATTTTTGGCCCTTTTTTGACCCCTAATTCCTTAACTGTTGGTACCATAACCCCAAAAATCAATCCCAATCTTCCTTTTGTGGTATTGAACCTTATGGTAAAATTTCATAGAGATCCATTCACTTAAACTAAAGTTAATGTGCGAAAACCAATGTGTCTTCGGACGACAATGCCGACGCCAACGTCATACCAATATACAACCGCAAAATTTTTTTGCGGTCGTATAAAAAGATGACGACGTCTTAAACACCATCAAAATTAATATAATAGTTTGTATGGAATATCAAATCAGCTGTTTCTGGGTACATATATATTTAGAACCAATTTCATGTGTTATGGTATTATATATAATATGTATGAATGATCACAAAATCTCAGAAAAATGGAACTACTGTGGATACATTTATTTTCGTGGATTGGGGAAACTTTTTGTGGATATTTGATTTCGTGGTTTTCCAAAAGTTTGCATATAATCATACATCAAATTTGCTATTCGTTGAACATTTAAATTCGTGGTTTCCCTGTTCCCACGAAATCCACGAAAATTGATATCCAACGAATAATAATGAATCCACAGTATTCCTTCTTCATATCTAACTGGGTTTCCAGGCCTTTTAATACTGTTGATCTGATAACCAAATCCTACTCCTATTACACATTCCTTTCTTTGATTTGTTTTATCAACATTTATTTCCATGTTCAACCAAACCAACCTATTAAAATACTGTTTGACCTGTTAAGATTTTTGCTAAAATGGGCTACAGAGAATACAGGTCAATGGATTAATACTGGGCTAAAACGGGCTATCACTAATACATGTAGGTGAATGGCATAATTTAGCACTGAAATGGGCTATTGCGAATACAGGTGAATGGAATAATTTGGCATTGAATGGGCTATTGAGAATACAGGTGAATGGAATAATTTGGCGTTTAATGGGCTATTGAGAATACAGGAGAATGGAATGAATTAATGCTAAAATGGGCTATGGAGAATACAGGTGAATGGAATAATTTGGAATTGAAATTGGCAATACCGAATACAGGTGAACGGATTACTCTTGCGCTAATATGGAATATTGATAATACTGGTGAAAGGAATAATCCTGAGCTTAAATGGGCTATCGAGAATACAGGTAAACGGATTACTCCTGCGCTAATATGGGATATTGAGAATAAAGGTGCATGGAATTGTCCTGCTCTAAAATGGGCTATAGTTGTCAACTTCTATGTCATTTGGTCTCTGGTGGAGAGTTGTCTCTTAGCAATCATACCACATATTCTTATTTTTATATATAATGTCAAAGCAAATATATTTACTGATAGTCTTGAATTTTCGCTTAAACATCCTGTGCCCTGAGAGGCACCTAACATTAAAGATTTATGGGTACTGAGGTTTGAAACAAATTTTCACACAATAAAGCATTTAATATCTAATTTAAATTGTATGTGTGAGAGTCCTGGGATGAAAAAGTGCTTTCCAATCCCCCATACATTTAATTTTGGAATAGTCCTATGGTGTTCCTGATTAACAGGACGCATGCAATAATTAAGGAGCTAGGATATAACAATTCAGAAGTTAGGGTATGATTGTGTGATGTGTAATTTGCAGAGATGGGATGGACAAATATTTTAATCTTTACACATTTTTTTTTTAGTCTTTAAGTCCTGATAGTAAGGAACGCCTTGACCATGAGTATGCATGGTCTGAACAGATGGGGTTGACCAGTTTGTTGTGTGATGAGACAATTGATCACATGGATCTTGGTGACGACGATGATTTAGCAAAGAAAAATTCCAGGTAATTGTACATTTTGTTAAAAAAAGACTCGTGTTTGGAAAAAAGCATTTACCATGAAAAGCAGTTGAATGGATATAGATATCAAAAAATCATTGATCAAAATTAGAAAGATTGTTAAAATGAATGAATCCTCTCATATTTAATGTATGTTAAAGTTTGTTTAGTTTTCTTGCCAAGGTTGTCATAAAGTTTACATTGTAATTTTTTGTACAAGCTCATTTTTTTTTATTTAGATGTGTTATGGTGTGTTGTTGCTTGGAATTTTTTGTTATTTTCGTGTCATATCGTGTGAGTTAAAGAAAAGGAACAGAGTTTATGGAAATAATCTTGTAACATCACACAATCTTATTCCATTTCTTTTGTTTTGAAGGAGTCATGTCTTACAAAAACCTAGATTTAATAGTAAAAGTAAAAAATAATAGGTAAAATGTTATGCACAGTGGAAAAAATAAGATAGTCATTTATTTATGAACATATCTACACTAATGCTAGGTGGCTTTAGGCCAGTGGATATGGGGAAGACAAAAAATAAAATAATAAACAAGGTTATGATTTTGACATTTTTTACCTACCAACTTTTCAAATTTTATAGGACACCTCAAAACAGTATTAAACCGAAGGAGCAAAGACATAAAATGGCTGAGAATGGCAAGAAGTTCAGGTAATAGACTAGAAAATTTTAATTACAGACTGCATGAAGAGTGAAAAAGAACAGATCTTTTCAGGTGTTTGTTGGGTTGCTGCTCATTAATGAATACCGAATTCAGTCGTGTATTGGTAATAAAGATAATGTCTCCCATGAAAATTTCATAATAAAATAATGTCCAGGACAATATTTCATGATGAATTAGTGTCTTTGTCCATGAAATTTGTCACCTCCTTCTGGAAAATATTTCACCATGAAATACTGTCCATGGTAATATTTCACTGTGAAATTAAGTCCATGTCCGCGGTTTTTTACTCCAAAATAAAAGTTGTCAGGCAGGGGTATAAATTAAAGAGTACTATAAGCAAGAAATAGGAGAAAAACTTGATTTCACTATGTTTGTGATTGAAATTTTAGAGGTCGCCCTTATTTCTTTTCAAAACTTTTAATTTACCTTATCCATATTAATATGCAAATTTAATTTAAAAATCTAATATTAACTGATACATATCAAAATCAAATGCTTCTTTACAAATTTCTCATTTCATTTCATAGTATTGCATAAATTAAACTGGAATCCACTTGTTAAAAATGCTTCGAAAAAAGTGAAAAAGTCCGGCAGGAACCAGCTTAGGCATAACGATGTATAAACTACAAAACATAATCTGTTATTTGTTCCGTTTTGTGTTTTATACTGCTGCATGTGTTTTGTTTTAGCTAAAACCCTTCAAACATTAATGTGTTGAATATAGCTGACAGTTTTTCAATTAAGTACTGAACTGTTTTAGTTTCAAACTCGTATTCTTAGGTGTAATTTATTAAGCACGCATTTTCTGCACACTTTCACAGTATTTGTTTGCAATTTACGCCTTCTATTCAGATATCCGGTTAATGTCATCACAACTTTTACAAGTGTTTTTCTTGTGATTTTGGCTTATTTTAAGACTCGTGAAGTGTTCCAGAATGATATAGAAGCATTTTCAACTGCTACTTGATGATGGAAAAAGGGATTTTCCATGAAAATACCTCAAACAATCCCACATGTTTTGGAATTACCAGAGTATCCCGAGATGTTTTCAACAAGTTTTTTTCATGGATTTCCTGTGTTGCAAATAGGGGTGCGGACAATGTATCAGTGCAAACTTTACAAGGCTGATTACAGTACCCACCTCATCTTTAATTTTTATCATTTTTGCCATTTTTGTCATCATCATGAAGTACTTTAATTATAGGACTCAAATTTTGCCCCAGATTTATGGACAGATATTTATTTATGGTTTTACTTTCAAACCTAAATTGACACATGCTTAAACACATTTGTGGAAAATGTGCATTTTGTTTGATGTTAAAATTTACATTATTTATTGTCTACACAAATTAATGCTCTGGTATAAAAATACCTTCACATTATACTGTTTACATCAAGTTCTACTGTCTATGAATAAAAGAAGATGTGAAATTAGCATCAGTGAGACAACAATCCAATAGCCCATGCATGATAATCAAAAAAGACTTATGGGGGTTTTTAACGACCTTGACTGGCTAATAATCAAAATAGATTCTTCTATCCACATAAAATATTTAATTAGATTTATTGCAAAAAAAAAGACTTAATATAAATGTTTTACTGCTTCAATATTCCATTCTGCTTTGAGGAAATGAAATAGAATTTAGCTAGAAAGATATATAGCTAGCAAATGGTTGTGAATTCATTATCAGAAAAAACTGCAAACAAAACAAGTATTGAATTTAATAACTGCAAATAATTTTCAGGTCGTTGTCATCAAGTGGAAGTAACTCAACCCAGATGAACCACTCTGGAGGAAAAGGTCGAAATACAGAGGCAAAATGTAGAAGGCAATTAGAAAAGTAAGTTGTGAAATTTAAGAAAAAGAAGTGAATCAACAAAATTTGTTTTCTGACACAAAATTATTTTTGTTTGATAAAGGGTTTGGTAATTGGAATACAAGTCAATAAATTCGACAAGGTTCTGCTAATTTATTTCAATTTTATTTAAAAAAAAAACCTGTTTATTTTCATATGTTTCAATAAGCAGTTTTAGAATACGTTACAAATAAGATCTATATTATTTGTATATTTTGCAATTAGATGATGAAAAATGATTGTGATTTTTCTGTTAAATTGAATTATCAAAAAATATTGTGCATTTGTTGAAAAAGTTTGAAAGTTTTTGCAACTAGTAGATTTATGAAATTCATGCAAAAAAAGTTAAACAGACAATTTTTTATGCATTTGTTACATAAAGTTCATGATTGCCTGAACTTTTCAATAGGAAAATATTGATAATTTTTTTTTTAATTTTTTTTTCAGGTGCTTTACAGCAGAAAAAGACAATCTGCCAATAATTACAGGTGTTTTCGATAATACTGATACAAATTGTCTAGATTTTGATGGGTATGTTTACTTTTCCCTTTAAATTTTCTATCATAAGCACCAAATTCAATACTTTCAAAGCAGATTTTATAGCTATGGAAGATAATTTTGCAGTGAACAAAAAAACCTGAATAATAGAGTTATTTTAGGTATAGAGAAGAAAAATTGAGAAACAAATATTTCCTCATCTGGCCAATTCTTTAAGGTTAAAATGAAATATAGATTGTTTCCCATTTATCTATGACAATAAATGTTACCTAATGAACTTTTTTTGCCATTTCAAAATAGAAAGTAAACTATTTTTCAGGTTGGCCAAAAAATCCATTTCTTTGGATACATTTATTGTGGATACTTGATTTAGAGGTTTAACAAATTCTACTAACAAGCCTATAGAAAATTTGTGTTTTGATGAATCTTTTTTACTCACGTTTTCCTACACATGAAACACAATTCGTGAAAATTAATACCCAACTAATGAGGAATATTCCATTTAGAGGACTTAAAAATTCTCCAAACATTATTTTTATTATTGCAAAAATTGTGACTGGCCAGGTTTTCAGAAAAAAAAAACCTGTTAATTTTGAATATTGATAGTTTATTTGCCAATTGTTCAATGATTGAAATAATAAATTGACACAAAATTTTCTTCAATAACAGTATATCAAATGGACATACAGCAATAACTGAATGACTTACAGCAGATTCCATTGAGTGTGTAGCCAAAGGTAATATCTTTGGTTAGCTTGCTTGTTAGCTGAACCGTGAAGTCATTGTTAGGTTAGGTAAACTACCCTACTTTAAGAATAGACTAGTCCGACAGAAAACCAATCGATCTGTCTGTTGGACTATGCTACTTTGAAAGGAGGGTAGTATACCTGACCCAATAATGACTTCACGGTTCAGCTAACAAGCAAGCTAACCAAAGATATTACCTTTCACTACACACTCAATGGAATCTGCTGTAATGACGATTTTTTGTTTGTTATACTTCTAATCTACCTTTAGGAACTGCATGCATAGATATATAAGTTAAAAGATTGAGGATTGTACCCATCTAAAAATAAGACGGGTCAACATGGCTATATTGTGTACATTATAGTTTATATTTTTGTTTTGTTTTCAGATATTTCCTGTTCTATCAATTTGTAGCTGGTGATAAAGAGAAGATGTTAAAAGGTGAAATGGCCAGTGAGGTTTCACAGATGTGGCAAGAAATGCCAGATGACACGAAAGATACATTTATTACCATGGCAGCATTAGAAGGTTCACAATCAGATTCTAGTCACCTCAGCGATGACCTTAGAGAACTTGATGTCAAACCTTTTGAAAAAGGTAATGGTAAAAAATATCACTATATTGAAAGCATGTAGACTCTTGATTCATTCTAGATCACCAGGCCAGCACATAACAATATAAGGCACTGTGTAGTAATAGATAATAGGATTCATAAAAAATACTGCATAGCAGACCACATCAACCACCAAACTCTTCCAACAAAACTGACATACAAGCAAAGACAAACAACAGTCAAATAACTCATGGTCCAAAGGTAGAGCAAAAACTATTTAATATTTTGTCAAAATTTGACATTTGTAAGTTGAGATTGAAATTAATAAATGATCATGTCTTGGCATACATCAGAAATGAGGTCATATGGTAATGTGAAGTGTGTTTGCATTGGACCAGATCTCTCCTATAAGAGTAAATCATTTTGGCTTCAACTAATGAGCCAGGCAGGTATACAGTAGCTCCTGCTACTGAGAATTCATTTATTATTTATGGATTGAGAAAAATTAGAATTTTCGTGGATACTTGATTTCAGAGTTTTAACTGCATACAAGCCTATAGAAAATTTATTGTGTGTGGAACACTTGTTAAACTCATTCCACAAAAACCAAAAATAATTATAAATTCACAGTAACCAGTAAATGACATCATAAAGGTGCATGTAGTGAAGAAGTTTTTGGTAACGGTCATAACCAAACAGTTCTATGATATTGAATTATTATTTATTCTCCTTGAAAAAATCTATTACAGATGATGCGCACCACACATTCCACAGTGATGAAGTTAGAGCCAATCAAGTTATGTTTTCAGTCAAACAAGAACCACAAATTCTCCTTCCACAAAGACCTATTCCCAAATCTTATCATTTCCTTTTACCAGAACATAATGTGCAAGAAGTTCCACTAGGTAGAGTTATCTTACCTAAGGTATCTGAGCAGATCTTAGTTCCTGAGATTTCAGAACAGGTAACAGTTCCAGATACCTCAGAAGCAGCAGTTGTTCCAGAATTCACAATGAACAAACCACATTATACTTTGAGTAAACCAGTTATACAAATGGATCACATGATAGCACAAAATGTTGAGGTTTATGCAGAGATAGGAGATTTTCACATGGTTCCAGAAAGTCAGTTATGTCACTTTGACAGAACAAGGGCTGATGACCTTGGGTTCATTTCATTATCAAATGAGGTAAAAATTGCAGGATAATTTAATATTTCATTTATATGGCTACCCTCAATGCAGGAGATGCACTAAGGGATCTTGGTTGGCCTAAAAAACACGATTTATACAAAATTAGGAGATTTTAGCTTATTGTTAAGTGTGTGCAAAGTATATACAGTAAGATCTTTGAAATATTTACAGATATTTTACAGTTGAAAGATAGCAAAATATCAATTTTCTACAAAATATAATAAAATTAGTATATTTTCACACATATTTGTAAGTGGGATATATTGAGTACCACAAAAATATTTGCATGATAGGCACTGTACATATAGACAAACAATGTGGTTAATTATGTGGTTGGTCCTTGCATGAGGTCTATATTTTTGGTGAAAGTGCCTTCCAACCCCCATATATTTTTTTCTGGAATAGCCCTTATAGAAAATTATTGAATTGAAATTGAATAGGTATGTATTTGCATAAGTTTTATTTTTCAAAAGCAGAAAAAAGGAAGTGATTCCTACTTTATTTTTGTTTTGTCTCATTTTAAATGTTTTCTGGAAAAAAACAGGAATCCGAGTCAAAATGACACCATGACAAGCTTGCACTACTATGTTTCCATGTCCAGTAGACCATGAAATCTCGCTCAAAATCCTAATGTTGGCATATAATTTTAAAAGTTTACACCATAATTAGCACATGTACTTAGTATCAAGTTGATGTGACCACAACTTCATGGTAAACTAGTTCAACCAAGACTTGAAGCTGATACACATTTAGTCTATCACTTTTCTATATTCAGTGAACACTAAAATCTGGGTCGAAACCCAAATTTGGCATATATTTTAAAAGTCTTGCACTATTATGTGTATTGAGTTTCAAGTTGAGGTGACCACTTGGTAAACTACATTAAAAAAAAACTTTTAACATGATACAGGGCAAATGAACAGACTGATCCACAGACCATTAAACATAATACCCACTTACTATCGTAGGTGGGGCATAAAAAAATACTAAATAGCTAATAGCAGTGTCTTTTTGGATGTGAAAGCACATTTTGATATTATCTTACTGAAAAAAGCTGTCTTTTTACCTTTATATAACCATGAATAAAACTACTGTGACTTGGTGCTTTACATCTCTAGATTTTTGTTAACATTTGTGGTACATTAATATTAATTAGTACTTGAATTATACTATTTGAATAAAAGTCAGGTGACTAATACAAACGCCTTTGAGGCTTGATTCCTTGGGACAGATTTATCATGTATACATCACACAAGTGTTTTATGTAGATTTCATCAAACTTGCATTATTTTTTTACAGAACAGCATGAATGAGGAGTTTCAACAAGAAGTATGTCCACAGATTACAACAGAAGATCTGACAGAATGGAAAGGACAGATAGTGCCATTAGTTTGAAGTGATTGATTCATAGAAATGTTTAAATATCAAATAATAAGTTGTACAATGTTATGATATGCTAGGTGCTATAATACACTCCCAAGCCAATTTAAAAACACATTGATTATCTCCCTTCATAAGTGGTATACTGGGTATATAAACTATTCCAAGTAGGTCACAAAATCTTGAAAACTTATTTAAGGTTATTACTTTGTCAAATTTTCTCATAAGGCCTAAAAAATATTTTGTGTGAATGGGAGACAGGGATGGGGTTCAGAGGTATTGAATAAACAAACATATTATTAATATAACTTTAAAAGACCAAATGCCTTCTCTAAAGGTCATTCCTCCAACCATTAATTTCATGTGCCTTATTATAAATCCTTCCACTGAAGTTTCTTTTACAGACATGGCCAAAATGGAAAAAAAGACCAGAAAACGACAAGTATAAGATGAAATAAATAAAATTATAACTATGACAAATTGTTCTTTTTTTGTGGGGACTAATGGATTGATAGGATTATTTATCTATTTTGTAGGCAATAATAGATTAATCAGAGTTATGATATTGATGTGAAGATGTTTGTTTGAATATGTTGTATTTTATAAAGTTAACGATGATCATGCAAAAATCCACTGTGGATGTTGATTTTATTAAAAATTAATTTGTTACCTGTTGTATCAAGTTGATGTGGTAGTTTGTTTATCGATGCTAGTTTTATAAAACATCTAATATTCTTCTTGTTGATGACCATGTATTTAAGGTCATTCTCCGTTCTAAATTTTAGATGTTTTAAAAACTGAATAAGATAAGAAGGTTTCTGAAAAGTTGGATGTGTTTTTTTTTTCAAGTGCACTTTTTTGTTATAAAGAAGTGGGCTGATAAAACATGCTAGAACGCTAAGGAAAATATGTTGGAAATGAAGTTTTTGTAAAGGGAGGCTAAAGTTGCACACAGGTATGTGCAGTTCTAATTTAGAATACGTTAGAGGTCAGTATATTTGTGGAAAGGAGAAGGTATGATAAGATCTCTCAAGTTTGACATTCATAAATGAACTTGCATAGTTGGCATTTCTATTTTCATATGAACTGCTACCTAAATCAGAATTCTCGAAATCTTTTTCCCCTTTGTGGTCCTTGAAGAAAATCTGCTGATCCTCACAATTATTTCTATTTCAAGATACCAAAATTGTGTCGGTCCTTGCAAAATTTTGGTTGTCAAAACTTTCAGACCACCACTTTTCGAGAATTCTGCTAAAAGAACAATTAACTTGAAATAAGTTGTTCCTTTCCTTATTAAAAGATTTATGTATAGGTTGTATATTGTACTCAACAGCCTTTTTGAATTGCAAGGACTGAAGTTTCTTTACAATTTTAGGCGCCAAGTAAAGTTTATTTCAGACATATTATAATAATGAAAGTAAATAGATTGGAAACAAGTAAATCATACTTAAGTAACCTTCTCCAGATTATCAAGTGAAACTGTGAGCTACTGCTCACTGATGATACCCTTGCCCAAATATTTAGGTAAACAGGAAGTTGTTGAGTGATGAATCTGAAAATGCATCACACGGTATAGCTGACTCATATAAACCCTGAAACCAAATATCAAAAATCCTTGTAATGTAGTTCCTGAGAAAGATGCAACGAAAAATATTCATGGGACGGATGGATGGACGGACAGACCGAGGTTAAACAGTATACCCCCACTTTTTTAAAGCGGGGGTATAACAATGTACAAAAGTAAAATGTTGATGTGATGATGCAATATTTAGAAGTGTACATTACTTTATGATTCTATTTAGAGTCTAGTGATAAAAGTGAAAGCTGGCTGTAACCTCTTGTCTTACCTTCTCCTTTCATTTGTACATGTAATAAAGTATTTTTGTTAACCATTCTTTGAACAACTTGTATGTAAATAAATCTTATACTGTATAGAATTTGTAAAATATATGAAATTGAGTATATTTTTTTAAAGTTCAGAAAAGGAAGACATTATCCTGATCAAGTTTTAAGAATGATTAAAAAAGATGTATATTTTTTGATAGAAAGAAGTATCTGAAATTTACCCTACATCAATTGGGTGTTTTACAAGAAGCATGCTATTAAAGAAGAATATACTATATCATTAGAACTGTGATTTTCTTAATATCAGTCCATTTAAAAACATATTAGCTTTTCCTGATATTACAGATAAGTTTCCAGCTCTAGTGAATTATATTTTAAAATTGTGATGAACAAATATATTGTGCTTTTTATGCTTTGAATCAATATTTTTTTAAAACAGCTCAGAAAATTTAACATTTTTAGGTTAAGCAAGTTATTATAATGGCAAACAATGGAATTAAAGGCACAACTACAAAAGACATATAGATATTTTTTGGAATCAAAGAAAAAGATAAGGCAAGCTAATATTTTTTTATGTATAAATGTATATAGAAAAAAACAGAGTGTTTTATTTAATTTTTAATAAAGTTAAAAGAAGGCTTTGTTTGTATATAGATTTTGCTATGTGGAGCTTTGCTTAAAATTGATGGTGATATAAGTTTGTGGTTGCAATGGCAAGCTTAAACTTTTCCCATTCAGATGGGTGTATCAGGATAGGAAGGGACATTTTTATACCCCATTTTAGTGCAAAGATAAGTTTTGACTGACTGGACCTTGGCGTCTTTAATTTCATTCATAGTTTTAAAGATTTTTAATCGCCAAATGGAAATTTCTGATCAAGTTCTTGACTTTTTCATCATGGTGTCAAGTGCTAATATCTGATTTGCTTTGACTTTGGGATACAGGAATCACAAAAAAATATATAAGCGGTAACATATCCTTGTTTTTAATTTTTTCATTGCTTAAATGGAAAAGATTCCAAGAATACCAGCTTTTAAATTACAAAAGAAAATTCATAAAGGCAGAGGTACAATATCTTCGATTGACTGAAATGAACTTGATCAGAATTTACAGAATTGTAAATAATGGCCGGTTCCTGGTTAGAAGACATTTTTGTAGAATGGAATTGTTAGAAGAAAAGCAGGCTATTGTTTGTTGTTATAAATGTTTGATACTAGACTGATTTTGATAGAAATTGTTGGTATGGTTATAAAGTGTAAAATTGTTTGATGGGGAAACATTTTTCCAAATAATTCAGGATGAAATGGTTAAAAACGTTTGAGTAGGGTTAGGTCTATTTGATTTTGAGAGTCCATTATGAATGAAATGTTGTAGCACTAAATGATTTTTGGTCTTTAACTCATTTTGATCACCCACTTTACTAACTTCATTTAATATCTAAATTTATTTCTTTTGCACTATTTAAGTACTATTGTACCCAAAATAGCATCCTATCCTGTCTAAAATTTCCTCTGTTAAAGAAATTAGTTAACTGTAAATTCAGAAATTTATAGCGTGCATTTGTAATTGTGATTTTGAAGAATGAACAAAAATGTGAGTTTAATTATTTCGATTTTAGGAAAAGCTACATACAGATATATATATGTATCAGATATCAGAATGGGAGTTCTTATTATTGCGATACTCAAGGAGTTGCATTAATCGCATTAATAAAGACATCGCTATAATTTCTGAATTTACAGTAGTTTCAAATTTTTTATTGATGACAGAAATACATGATCACTATTCAATAGTATGCATACATTTTTATCTTTTGAAATTCACATTAATAAATACAAGTCTAAAAGTACAGTTCAGTGTTTATGTTGCTAACAAGTACATCTCAAATCAAAAGTTGAGTGAGAAACTATTTTTTCCTGTATTATTTGAATGATAAAGAATGTTATTGATAATCAACAGGATTGTTTTTATTGTTAAGTTTTGTTGTCTCGGCACTATATTAGCCAGTTATATTTTGTTAAATGTGTTGCATCCAAGAAAATGCATTTGTTATTGGGTTATATTTGAAATAAATATTGTTATGATTTAGACTATTTCTTTGTTGTAATTTGAAGTTTATCATGGTTTGGACCCAGTTTCTTATTCTTGCCACTGTCCAACTTTTAAAATCGTCTTGTGTTTTCTCAGTGGAAGTCCTATTTTGACAGCATCTGTATATTCCATAAAATAATTGTAAAGGGTTTTCATATGTCTTGACTGAGATTGTTACTGTCAGTGTAAAAGTGTAATGTTGACTGCCAAAAACTAAGTCTATTAATGAGGATCTGGATTGGGGTTTACAGATTGAGAATTACGGGCCAAATCTACAGAAAAATGGACCAAAAAAATAAAAAATAAAGAAAAATGGGACCAAAAATTACAGAATTTAGAAAAATAGGGTGCTGATATATGAATAATATAGAAAAATTATCTAAAAGTTAAAGAATACAGAAATGAAGGACCCCCCATCCAGACCCTTATTTATTAGTAAATTTGAGGAAAATAAAACTTTTCCTCAGATGCTATTTTTTTATAATGAAGTGTCAATCTAATTTTCTTACATTCCATAAAGGTTTAACAAAGTTATTTTAAATATCTACAAATAGACAGAACCAGAATGTTGATGAGACCACCACTGCTGATATACATACTCTTAAACCAACTAGTTTTGGGAGCTATTTAGTTTCATGAGTAAAAAATAACCCTATTATGTAAAATTAGGGTCTTCCTATAAAGAATGAAATAACTTCAAAAATGAAATTGCCACAAAGTTGGCTGAAAAGGGAGAAAAATATCTACAAAAATAAGTTGGTTTACAGTATAACCCTGACATTGTAATAGAATAGAGAATGGAAAGTGGGATATGAACAAGGATGATTACAATTAGTTTTTTTGGCAATAGATTAAAAATGTTGAAAGATTAACAATGAAAAGCTGCATGTTATAACAAAAATCTTTTTGTATCTGAGAATCATTGGTCATCTTCTGAAATCAGAAATAGCCCAAAATTCATAACAAAATTTTATTTCTAGTTGGAATACTGTTGTGTGATAATGATATTATGACCCCTATATACATGTAACAACAAGAGTGCACACTGAAATGTCTCGCCTGCTTTACTTATCATTCTTGAATTTCATACTATACACCGAATATATAGTTAGACTATTGCTTATAATATCTGAGAAACGGACCTAATTATACGAAAATTGAACATTGACCAA